GAGGGTCAAATGAGACAATTAAAGAGGGATGGAGAGGCAAGGCCGGGCTGGCTGTCCCCTCCGAAGGCCACCTAGGTAGGCGGAAGAGATCTGTGTTCATATTTCTACTGTGGCATTTGACTTGAAATTTCTTCTGTGCCGGAGTCTGAAAGCATCACTGTTTTGTTGTGTTTGTTTGGGTTTTTTTTCCTGGCTAAACTGTGTGTGTGTCAGCAAGTGGATGGAGGCATTAGTGATCTGGTGGTTTATATCGCAAGTGTCCAAATATCTCAGGTGCTCACCAAGTTGGCAGTGGAAGTTAACTGGGCTTCCTACCTCCTTGGGAGTTTCAAGCTTTGTCCTTTTCTCCTTGCTAAGAAACGTGGTTGCCCGGACTGATTTAGCCGCCTTCAGTCACACTCTTCCAGCTTTGTTCAGAGACTAAGTTTGAATTTGTCATGGAGAAAGGTGTCTACTGAGAAAAACGTGGTCTCCTTCCTCTGAAAAACAAAATTCTCTTCAAACTGGACGTATTGAAGTTGTGTGTCACTAATTCGTAAGGCAGCACACCCTGAGCTGTCGCAGCGCGGTGCGTGGAGACCCGTGCTGAGGAGTCCTGATGGTGCAGCTGCCGGCACAGAGTTCACACTATTGCGTTGTGTTTTGTGGAGCTGCTGTTGGGTTTCTGGAGCTGGAAACCTGGGCTGTTGGCCTGGCTTTGACGCAGCGCTGGTGTGCTCCTCCAACCCTGCGGGGAACTGAGTTTGCCCTCTCTGAGAATGTCCTTTTCTGCAAAGTGCAGTGGAAATGGTGGGCTTTCTTAAATGGAAAAAGAGCTGCCAGGCAGTTTTTATCACAGAAATCAAATGTAGTCATTTATTTCTCTGTGCGTGTGTAACATTTGGTCATTTTTCATCCTCTGACCTCGGATCCTTTACAGAAGAAACATTACGCTGAGAATGGATGAAAGGAAAGTAAGACTCGGAGGGGGGAAATGTGTTGTTTAGAGCCCCGAGCAGGTTGAAGCATGAGCTGCAAATGTGATTCTTATGTCCCAAAACTTGGCTGTGTGCTACGCCCCATTGCACTGCGAAGTTGAAGTTTCTTGTAATGGCAAAATATGGTCTCAAGAAAACGGGCTGCAAAGATTTTATTTGTTTAAACAAAGGCTTTGTGATTCTAGAATTCTCTCCCCTTTCATATGCTATAAACCACCTCCTCTGCCTCCCCTCTGAAATATGAATTTTGGAGTCATCCATCAGGAAAAAGAGAGACAGAGCCTTGATCCCTTGACTTCAGTTGAGCGGTGCAATTTATATCTACTGAGCATCTGGCTGCAGGGAAACCAAAAGCCCTTTTAATATTCTGCCGAGACTCTGCGTATACAAATGAGCGTGGGCTGTCAGAGCTGAGAAATGGGCCAGAGATGCCAAGAGGTTTCTTTGCCGTTTTGCACAGAACTCTGACCTGCGGCCTCATGGTGAAAGTCGGCCTGGTTTGGGGGAGTTTTTTTTTAACTCCCCTCGGTGCCAGTGTGGTAACTGTCCTGAAGTTGGTATGAAGCCGTTATCATGCCTTTCTTCTTTTGAAGGAGGAATTTGAAGTCTTGGGGGGCTTTCAGCCTTGTGCAGCTGAATCATACGACTATTAAATCCTGAAAGTTGCATCGCTTTAGCTGTGCGGCCGGAGAAGGGGAATGGGAGAGTGGAAAGGGAGAGGTGTGCTAGGACAGTGAGATCGAGACATTATGGAGACAGACTGGGTGTCACGTGATGCGCTGGTACAGTCTCATGTTCATTATCTCCATTATTTATCCTCCTTGCTGGAACACTTCTAAAACAAATCATACCATGTGTTTTGAGGTTAGGCTTTGCAGAGTGAAATCGCAACTCCTTTTTCAGAGTCTAGCTGGAAAAATACAAATCTGCCAACTAGGAATATGGGGGAAATAAACTGTGGTTCTGTGTAGCAACAAGTGATGGATTTCTGCAGATATGGCAAGCGTCTGCTCTGAAGTTCCAGGTCAGAGAGTATGTGTATTTGCCCCAGCATTATATTTGTTCATGTGAAATAATGATGTGAGATCCTCAAACTTGTTTTTAATAAAGCAGACTGCTTTCACCCTGGTCAGAAAATTTAACTTTACAGTCCCAGGCCTTAGAACCCCCCAGCCATCAGGATTAGACACTAAATACTGTGGTGCATAGTAGTCAGGGAAGATATTTCGTAGCTTGATTTGTCACCGCTATTCTCAGGCTTTCTGCAAGGACAAGTAATGACCCCAGACCTTGAAGCAGCCTGTGCGTGAGCGAGCTTTGAACGCGGTTTTTGTAACTGCAGTACTGAGCATTCATCTCGGTCTCTGAAAGCATCATCCGTCTGTTGGTTAGCTAAACACATGTCACAAGGATTTGTTGGCAGGATGGCTTGCCTTAGTAAGAGGATCTTTTTGCGTTAGGACATCCACTTTCTGGATTAGTTAAATGTCTTTTGGGTCCAGGCTAAGTACCTTGGGTGAGGATCTGGGTTTCAAGGTGTTTCACAAAGGAAAGGATCAGAGTTCAACTCCAGCTTGAGATTTAGTCGTTCTCTTTCTGACCTGGCCTGGGCTTTCCATATGTTTCAGCACTGATGTGAAGATGGTATTAGACAAAGCATGCTATACAGGGACACTGCTACTTCCTCCCTACTTCTCTCAGTTTTTTCTTTCAAATCTAACCTCGTGTGCTGCAACCACACCTGAGAGAGCTCTATGAGACACTCTTCAAGAGCAGAAAGAATTGCTGGACTCGTGCTGTTTGGACACTCCGTCCAACAGAGATAATCAGAGTATTCCCCCTGCCAGGAGCTGGTTGATTCACCCCTGTGCAGAGAGGTAGTACAAGCGCTTTTTTATGAGCTGAGCTCCCCAAAGAGAGCTTAAATGATCAATCCATCTCAAGTTATGCACAGAGATGGTTTTCAGACGGTTCAAGTCAATCTCTCTAAACCTACAAGAGCCGTTAATATGTGCAAGCCAGCAGAAGGGAGAATAGGACTCAGTATTTTATTTGCTCTGTAACATGTGGTATGCCTCTTGCCTCTTGGGAGCACTGGATTTATCCCGTCTTATCTTTCTGTGGGGATGAGCAGGATCAAAAGCATGAAGCTGGTCCCAGTTGCACACACCACAAGCAGATCCAGACCAAACAAGCCTCACCCATTTCCCTCCCTGTGGGACAATGTGTTTATGGCACTTCTGGGCCAGTTCAAGCCAAAAAAATATTGCAGAGAATAAACATAAACAAAAGGGGAGTTGTTCTCCTGTTGGGTGAAAGAAAGTCCAAGGAAATCTCTCAATTCCTGAACCGTCAGCTGCTTTGTCTGCAAAACGGTGCATATTGTGAGGTGGCAGCTCTGCGTCTAGCTCCTTTGGGAAGCTCCTCAACTCCTCATAGAGGGTGGATGAGAGAATTTCTTTCGAAGGTTTGTGTGGTGGGTGGCTGGTTGCCGTTAGCAGTCAAGCAATCTTCTTAGATTGTAAATCGTTACTGTGGAACAGCCAAACTTCCTGACCCTCCAGGCCAGGCGCTAAAATCTTCGCATGGCTGAGAGCCATTGGTACATCCCATGTGCTCCATAAAACTGGAAAGCGTTTGTGGGTGAAGACTGGAAAGATTCCTTGGGGCTCCTTGTGCGAAATGGGACAAAGCTTGGGAGGGGGACAGCTGAGTCCTAGGTGTCGGGGTTCAGCCGTGCCAAAAAACACGTTGACCCATTCCTCGCCGTGGGCAGGTGCTGAGTTTGCTCAGCATCCCCTGAGTCAGCACAATCTCAGCCTGAGCTGCACCCGAGTGGTCTGATAGGGAGCTCAAGTATTTTACAGGTCAACCTCCCCAGCCCTATGGAAATGCCAGGATTTAAACACTTCTTCCTTGGTCAGTCAGCAAAAACTGGCTCTGGCCCTTAAGGAGCCCAGAAGCGCACGCGGAGGTGCACTTCTGCTCTGTAGGCCATGAGGTGGCAGTGATTCATCACCTGAATATGGATGGTTTATTCTCTGAAATGCTTCATGCCGCGTCATTTTCCCTTTTTAAAAAAACTGCCGCGCTTCACAAGTCACGATAGGGGAGTGCTCCAGTCTGGAAAGGTTCTCTGAGAGCTGGGAATGGGAAGTCCAGCACTGCTGCAAAGCTCTGGGAAAGTGCCTTGTTGATTAAATCTCTGTTCAGGGCTTTATCCTCCTTCAGCCACTTTAAAATTACTGAAATGAAAACAGAGGCAAAGCAGCAGAACTTCTGGTTAGATAAGGGATGTCCTTTGTATCAAATAATCATTTTTAGCGTCTCTCAGAGCCCGTTATGTTAATGTTTGTTCTTGCTGAGGCATCCTGTCAAGGCCCCTTTGGTGGGTGCTGCCTATCTGCTGCTTCTATGTGGCAAAGGGAGAGGGAAACCACTTTGTGCTGCAGCTCTGGTCTGTGTTAGCCCTGGGGTCTGTCTTGGATTTTCTTACTGTCGCTGGGAGAGATGATTTGTCATGGGAGTGATTACAAGGCCTTGGGAGTCCAGGAATGGGGCAGAGACTCCGCAGAGATGGGCAGTTTGTATATTCATTGCTTTCCGCGGGATTTGAGCAGGCGAGGGTACAGCACAGAGCGCAACGGGGTAGTGGTTGTGCAGCCTGACGTCCTGCGAGGTGGGAGCATGTGCCACACCAGCTCTCACCAGTGGCAGAACAAGTGTCTCTGCTGGTGACAACAAGTCCTGCTGATTGGCAGCATGAAAAGTCTTAAAACTAACGTTTTCTTCATCTGCCTTCTACCTATTGGCTACTTGGTTTCACACTCTGTCCTGCTAAACATCCCCAGAGTTCATCTAGCATGGCTGTTTAGCAATGGATTCCTGTACTTACTTTCCCCCATAACTGATCTTGAACGCTTTTCTGTGTGCCTTGGATCAAAAAATGCTGAAGGTCTGCAGACATGTATTAAAAGTTCATAGAAATTTTACATCGTTTTATTTTATTCTTTCTAGAATGCATGAACTGCACGAGACTAGCGGATATGACCGAGAGACTGAACACACTTGAGGCCAAGGTAAGGACCTGCCTTATTCTTCTGTTGGGCAAAAAGTTCCACGAGTTGATAGTGAGAAAGATGTTGAGTTGGCAGCTGTGGCGAGATCAGGTGTCTGTCCTTCTGTCCCCAGCAAGGAACAGGCTGTGGTGGTGGTTCTGCACCAGGCATCGCTCATCTCTAGCCCGGCTCGTTCCACCTCCCACATGGCTCCTTCTCTGCCTCCCTTCTTCCTTCTGGCTGCTCAGCTCAGCTCCTCCTAAACTGTCAGACCTGAAGAATAACGTGCCATGTGTTGCCATCACACTTATCACTGTGTTTGCCTCTTAGTAGCCTTGTCCCAGCTGTCTCACTCTTGTGACGGGCTCTCTGGCTTGCCGTGCCGTGCTGTGTTCGGGCTGCCCTCGCTGCTGTCACAAGCGTGCAGCTGCTAAAAACCAGTAAATAGCTCATTGCTCTCAACTGGAAGACGTTGGCTCGGGGTTTGCTTCAGGAACAGGGCAGATGGAGCTGCGTGAAAAATCTCTTGCCTTTGACTGGTTGATATGGAGGGGATGTACAACAGTGATTCCCCTGGCTCAGGAGAGAAGCAGGTTCCAATTCTGATCTCTCTCACTTAAAATGCCGTGTAGAAACCGTACCAACGTAGAGTGCAGAACAGTATGTTGATTTTTGTAATTCATTAGCCTGCTCTTCAAGTGCTATCCAGGCCTGCTTTTTTATCCCTCTCCCCCAAAATGGGAGGCTATCTTGCTATGGCAAGACCTTCATGCTGTAGGGGTTTTTTTTCTGCAAATTGTTTTAATTTCTGCTGACTGGGATCCAGATAAATTGTTCCAGTGTAGCAACAAAGCAGCTGAGTCAGTCATTCCCTTTTGATCTGTGGTCTCTCCTGTGACAGCACGATCCTGGCTGTTAGATCTAGTGCTTTGGTCCCTTTAAGGCATGCGCTGCTGTTATTATTCATTAACTGATGGCTATCAATGACATTAAAGAATTTGGGGAGAAGCCTTTGTGGAGGCCATGGTGGGGGCTGGATGTGTGGTGGTTTTGAGGCCAGGGCATGATATTGTGGTAATTTGGGAATTGTCTGTGCTGAAATGGAGTGAGCAATGTTGTCTGGAACTTCCTCAAAGCCTTCACAGTTGTATTTCACTACAGGAAAGTGAAGGGTGCGGGGAATGAAATTCTGGGGACCAGAATTGTTCCAGTGAAAACAACTGTTGTAGTGCAAAGGACAAAGATGAGCTGAATTCTTTTTCTGAATAGAAGGACCTTGGCAGGTGGATGTCCTTTGGCAGCGAGGGGCTGGAGGCGTTTGGGGAGGAGAGAGAGGCTGGTGATGACCTCTACGTATGCAGTCCCAAATCCAAGTAAGACATGGGACCAGCCTCAGAGAGACGTAAATCAGCCCTCTCATGCTCAGCCTGTAGCCAGTTGCACCTTTCGTTGCTTTCCAGGAGTTTTTATGATAATCAAAGACTGTCCTGACATCAGAGCACCTGCGTTCCGCTGGCTTGTGCTGCTCAACATGCTAATGGCAACCTCAGCCAGGACCTTGGCAGGACTTCATGGAGGAGGAAGGAGGTCCTACCTACCCAAATCCCCTCAAGAAGTCTTAGTCCAAGAGTGAAACTGCCCCCAGGTCAGCGAGTTTGTCTTACAAGCATGACACCAGTTTATGTCGGGTGACGTTCCCACCACCTGAAAGCAATCTGCTGGGGCGTTGGCACCAACCAGCGGCTGCCCGCCGTAGTTGGGAAGTTCTGCCTGCTTGCCCTCTGCATGGAGGCAGGAGCACGTTGGCTCCTACTCTAACCTAGGGCACTCGTTGTGCAGGAGCTGGCAAACCTGACGTGCTGCCCTTAGGAAGTGCTTCCTCTGTTGGCAGCCAGCTGGCTGCAACATGCTCTGCTTTCCAGAGTGAGCACCAAGACTTCATCAACATAGTGTTGATGGGTGAAGGCTTTGTAGTCTTGCAGACCTTCCGACAGGGGGACAGTGAGGCACATACCTGCACATTTCAGTGCCGAGATGTAGCCAGCCAGACCCTGGAGACGACACTTGAAAGATTTTGGTACAGTCCCAGCCGTAGCCAAGACCACAGCACCTTTTCTCTGCCTTCCTGAGAGTGGGACTTGACTCTTGTAGCTCTTGATCTTGGACGTAGTGCATCGTGTCTGTTCTAGTGCTGCAGTGAGGCAATTGTGTTCTTGCTGTGGTGAGTTTCTTTCTGACTTCACTGTTGCTTCCACAGAGACCCAAGTTGGGAGCAAAGCTCTTCAAAGAGTTTGCTTTTATGGAGAGAAATTTGTTACTTCTTTTTATGGTGAAGTACTAAAGGCCACGTCTCTGCAGAGGTGCTTTCTACAGCCCAGCCTGGAAGTGTTATTATCAGTCTTTCAACTTCCACTTTGTCTGAAAAGCTGTGGACACCATGTAAAAATTGACCGTAGCAATTAAATGGAGAGTGAAGCAATGTTACATGAATGCTGGTGCTGTGCAATAGAGAAATATGTTGATTCACACTTTTTTCAAGGTTAAGTTCAGTTTGATCTATGTGGTAATGTGATGACCTTAGTTATTCAATAATAGCTAGCACCATCAAAAAGGTGCTTGCATTTGTTTAGTATTGTCCACATTCCT